GGGATGTATTTTAAATTTTATATCTATATGGATTAAAATCCTAATAATATTGTCACTTTCGTCTGTCCATCAATCCTCTTCTTCTTTGTCCATTTTCTCTATTCTATAACCAATAACAATAAGTTTGTGTTTGAGCCTCTTTTTTAAGAAATTCATTTTAAACCACCTACCAAAAATAGAACTTACAAGTAAATTCAAAAATATTTTCTACCTTTTAGTCACACATTCTCCAAAAAATCACTACTACAAAATATCTTTTTCATAAAATAAGGCTCAAAACACGCCCTAAAATTAACACAACAATGTCTAGTTTTAAATATCCTCAAACGAGTAAAAAGAATAAAAAAGTATTTAAGTTTATTACAACAAAAATTAATTAAGAGTTGAAAAGAAAGAAATTGCATTATCATCTCCTTTAGATCACTGGTTCTGAATTGAACATGTGGAGTTGAGTATAGTCCTTTTGTTGTCACACCACTAGACCAACAATGACCTGTGAGAAAAGTGTAGGGTCTGTTTAGTATTTGTTATTGTAAAATCAATTATTAAAAGATACACGATTCATGAAATTAAATACGATTCAACAATGTAATTCATAAATACCTCTTGTGAAATTTTTAGTAAAATCTCTTTAACATCGACAGAAGTACGTTTATTGGCTTTGAAGTGAAAAAAAAAAAAAAAAAATTGCGTTAATACAAGTAGATATACTACGTAATAGAATCCACGAAGATTAAAATAATTTAATAATATTTTTATGGTATTAGTTGTACCATGCGAGCTTATTACCCTAGCATTAATTTGGTATTTTATAATTTAATACCATAAATAAAATTATGTTACTTGTGAAAATAGTAAATTAAATGCAGGGACTGTCACCGAAGTTTTTGGTGAACACATGGGGCTTTTGAAGCTGTGTAATAAAGACCCCTGTACTCAAAAAGTTTAGGCTCAAAACTAGTGCTAAAAGTCATGTTCTGCTACATGTACATTATGAATGACGTTAAATTTGACATTGTTTGATGTGACAATAATCATGGCCATTGATTTTAAACACACTCCAGATTTCTTACACGTCATCTACAATGTACAAAAACCATGTATAAGTAGATTAATTCTTGGAGAAAAGAAGTAAAAGATACACTTCAAATAGTCACGGATCATCATGATAATACCACCTTGTCCCAGTTTCATCGAGCATGGGAAGACTACTGCTTATCGTTGGGAATCGCAGAATTATCCCGCAGAATGCAGGATTTGGCTGTGCCTATGAATGCCAAGAGTATCAGGATCAATCGACAGTATGAAGTCATGCTAACTTTGGAGATTGGCCTTGAAGAAGAGACAACTCAAAAGGTTCAGGTGCACCGTCAAAATCTGGTGTGGCAACATCTTGATCCTGCAGGTGATAAGAAATCAGTTTTCTGAAATATGCGTGAAATTGTAAGTATTAATATGTCGAGTCCATTATTGCATCCTATGATTATCATAACCACATCATTACCTAAATAACTCGTTAAAGATCACAGCTTATGTTTAAATATGAACTGTGGATAATTGTTTTTAACAGAAGATTATTTCATCAAAAACTTTGTAAGAGATGACCAGCCTTCAGATCTCCACGTCTCCAAAACATTATTTTACTGCAACTGATATGGGTTAAGAAATTCTATATAAAACACGAAAAGAACTAAAAGATACTCGAAACTACCTGTTGGTGTTGGCTCAAGCTTTGAGTCAAATTCTGTTCTGAAGTAACTTGATGGCGCTGCTGTAGATTTTCGTGCTGTGGCGTCTCTGGTAAATTTTGATGCACATTTTGTTCTTGCATTTGGTGATGACCTTGTTGAACTTGCATAGGCGGATATCCTTGTTTATATAACTGGTACTGCTGCGAAAGTAGCTCGTGTCCATGTGCTGCATGTTGATATCCTTGTTGATGCATATGGGATGCAAGCTGTTGGTTTTGCTGGTAATACTGTTGTTGCATCTGTTGCTGATAGTACTGTTGCATCTGTTGGACATATTGTTGCTGGTGCGCAAGCTGGGCATGCTGCTGCTGTTGCTGTGATTGCAACTGATAAGGCGGATGTTGTACATAGTGTTGTTGCACTTGAGAGACCGGCTGCTGCAGCTGATATTGCTGTTGCAGAAAATGCTGTTGCTGCTGATACTGATACTGATATTGCAACATCTGATTCATCGCTTGGTCATGGGGCATTTGTCCAGGCTGCCGACTACTTTGCAAATTACTTTGTAACATATTTTGTTGAGAATAAGAAACAGAAACAGGTGGGGATGATAGTGGTGATTGTCCTGCAGTTGTCACTATGTGATTTATTGGATGAGAATTTTCATCAGTTCTGGAAGACACTTCTGGATTTGGATGTACTTGTGCTAGAGTATGATTTTGATGATTTTCTGATCTATCTTTATCAGATTCATTTGGAAGTTGTGGTGAATCAACAGTCTGAATGCTCTTCGGGCTGGCAGAAGCATTATAATTAACACGGGGGAAATTCGGTGATGGGCTCCGACTAGAGGCAGATGTGCCTTTTGTAGCCTCGAACTCTTTACAAGACATGGGCATAAACCCCTGAGATTCCTTTGCCTGAGAATTTAAGGCAACGTTATTCAAAGAAACTGGCTGCTTATGCTGTTGGAGCTCATGGTCTGGCTCTGAATCAACATTAACTGAACCGGAGCATCCACGCAAGGCTTCTACAGAACCAGTTGGTCCCAAAGACTTGCTAACCTCACGAGTTAATTCATGTGGTCGGACCAATTCGGTAGTGACCTCCATTAATTCCCGTTTGTCGTCTTTAGGTCGACATGTCAAATCAAGAGTTGATTCAACTGATCCAGGAACATGATCTCCAGAATGATGTATCGAATTATGAGATAGGTCATCGTCACGAGATGCATATTCCTTAGATACAACTGCAACTTCGGTGGATGGTCTCTGCAGTTTTTCCTTTTTATTGTTGTCATCGTCCATTTGCATTGACTTATCTTCTAAAACTGGATGGGGCTGGACATCATTATTCTCAGCAAGTACAGGTACCTGTTCTTGCTCTGCAAGTTTAATTAGATGATCAGAACTCTGGGTTTTGGATGCCTGGTCAATCCCAAGCCCAGCTAACTTAAAGCGACTTTGGTCCGCAGCTGCATTTAATAAATGGTTGCCTGATATGGGCTTCTTGCACAGGGCTCTTATCCTCATACACCTGGGAAATAATTGAACATGACGGTTCCAAGCCCTTCTTACATCATTTACAGTTCCACAAAGGTCAACAAACTGCTTCATTATACATAAATAGATATCAGCGACACATCAAACAGTGAATTATACGGAATGCACAACTAAGCCCCAGTTTGCTAAAAATTATAATCTAGATTTTTATCAAAGTCAAAGTCATCAATTAATTTTAACCACATATTTCATGATCCTACAACTTTAAACCACATTTCATCAACTTCTATCGAAATCTGCTAAAAATTTGATATTAATCCCCACCAAACAGGGGCTAAATAAAATGTGCAATTTTACTGGGATTATAGCTAATATTTAGGCATTAATTCAGAAAGAAATATGCAGTCAAGAAGTATTTTGAATCAACCAATGAAGTGTATGCCATACCAATGTTTTCGTCTCAGTACAAATAGTAAAAGGGTAACTAAAAAATGCAAGATGAGATATTTCTATACCTTTTTCTATTTCATCACAATACCATCCTTATTAGGCAACTCATTTATGACCACTCCAAATAATTATTAGTTGCAGAAGCCAAAATAATTTTGTGCAGATGGTATCATTGTCATATACAGCGCTATTAGCAAAATTTCAATTAAATGTATCAACAAATTATTGAAAGGAGACCCTGCTCATTATTAAAATGGCAGATGTGATCAACTTTTTCAAACAGCATTTTGTGCCTTGTTATTGCTAATCCAGGAAATGTTCATTGTCAAGGCTAGCAAGTACAAAAACTATTGCTTTAAACAGAAATCGATGCTTTTTATGTTGACATTTTACATCTTATGAGGTAGATTTCCTATTTTCCATGGCTACAATTTGTATGTACTGGACTGGTAGGCACCAACAAACTTTACAATAATTTTGCCAATCGTTGTGCAATTGCTTCCGCAACTGCTGGAAGCCAAGTTGGTTACACCCTTAACTCCCAGACCAGTATCAGATCCAACTCCCAGGAATCATAATCCTAGATAATTTGTACATGTTACAGGTTTTCCTCTTGAAATCAACCAAATAATATTTCCAATCTTTGGCAAGTTGAGTAGTTAGATTGGGAAAATCTCATCTTCACCCCCTCCCCTTCTCCAAATTAAAAAGGATAGTAAGAGGGCAGCATGTAAGTGCACTTTGCCATGAAAAAACCAAGGAAAAAATGATAACTAAAATAAACAAAAGAAAAGATATCACCTCTAAAAAGAGAGATGATATATCCTCTCTATCCTTGGCATTCAAGCCTTCAGATTTGTCTGATCCAGGAGAGATGGCATCAACTATAATTGATTCTACTATATTCACTTGACTTGCTCCTTCACGCGTCATTGAAAATTTTATCAATTCCTGAAGCAAGAACAATCAATTATTTGATGACAGTACTCGGCAAGGGCAGTAAGGAAACAAAGCAGTAAATACAAGTGATTAAACACTCCAGTATATTACTGATTGACATTCTAGATGAGCAGGAATTTATGGAAATTCAAAATTGAGCAACTATTACAACTAAACCTAATTGTCCCAGTCTCGACATGGACTGAGAATAATCCCTCCTGGCTGATGATCAGGAAGGATAAGCAGATGAATTAGAACCATTATATTACCAGTTTTTCATTAATTCTACCATAGAGTGATAGAGATCAGATCATTCTACTCAAGACCAGCCATATTACCTCCAAAAGGAATCTGCAATGAGGCACATGTTGTATACCACGGTTTATTACATCTCTAGCAGCATCTGCACTACCAGTTATCTACCAGCCAGTTAGGCATAGTCAGAGAGAGTTGTATGAAATCATAACAAGAAGTCAATATACATAATAAGTTGTCTCATATAATAAAAAATTAGACAAAAACTACAAGGAGACACAAAAAAAAAGGTACTTTAGGCATAGTTGTAGATGAGCGGCATTATCATCATAACAATTTCATTACTTTGTCACTAAAAATGACAAAATTGTCTTCCACAAACGAGTAAGACACGACATCAGGAAATATTGTCATGACTAATGGCCCTCTCTCAATTAGCATGATCTAAGATCTTATCTCACTTCTAACCAAATAAAATATGCAGCATAACATCAAACACGAAAACATGTTGCAACAAAACAGCCAACTAACAATGTTAGAGAGGCTGCCTGAAGCTCATGACTTCTTCCATTATACAAGGTCCAACTCAAAATCCATAGTCACGTGTAGAGAGGCTGCCTAAAGCTCATGAATTCTTCCATCATACAATATCTAATAATTCTGTGTTTAAAAAAGCCAAAATTCTATCAGCAAATAATTTAACAATTCTAGTCAATTGTCTAGTTTAAATCATCTGACACCAACAGTCAAGTATACCACTTGAACTTTATAGAATCAAAACAAAGAGAATTATATATAATATATTAAATATCATATCAAGTGAGAATAATTATTTGGACGATTATAGCCCTATTATAATTCAATTATTTCGGTAATAGCTTACTTTTCATTTTTCAATATGTATTTAATTTACAAACTATAATAAATGCTCCAAAATCTTTGTTCACACATTTATTCCCTGTTATTAATTCCCATTTAATTAACATTCTCATTCATTTAATTAATATTAATTAGAATTTCACATTCACGTTCACATTTATGTCCACGTCCCTATTATTAATTCTCAATTAATGAATATTCACTTTCGTTTAATTAATATTAATTAAAATTTCACATTAAAAAATTCAATTCATTATTCATGTCCATGTCTATTAATTAGCATCCAATTTTACTTAATTGAAAATTAAATTATATTCATTTACTATAAATGATTTAACATTCATTGTCACGTATAAATTTCTTGGTATTAATTTGAATCAATTAACATTCACGTTAATTAATGTATCGTATTTGTCATTCATCTTCATTTATGCATTTAGTTGTAATTCTAATACTCACATTCAAATATACATTTCACTATTTATGTGTATGTATAATAATTAACATTTATTTCAAGAGCTTGCATTTCTCTCATATTCAACTTGACTAGTAAAGTTCAAAAGTAATGTTTAGTTCACGATTTGCCCCCACCTCTCACCTTGGCAAAGCACCAGAAGCTATTATCCAAAAGTGACCAAACACAGAAAAAATTATGACGTTTTCTGATGCAGCAAAGTCGGATTGCTCAAAGTCAAGGTTCTTACCATGAATGTAAGCCTGGCGAAGTGAAAATATAAAGTGGGAAGGATATGTAACTTTTGCTTCTCAGATGCTATTTTAAGGCCTTTCTCATATGTAGCAGAAGCTGCTGCCAAATTACCCTGCCATTTCAAACCATCCATTCTCAACAAAATCCCCAGCCTAGATATAGGGAAGTATGGAATAACGCGAGAATACCAGACGTTTTTCCATGTTAGCTTGGTTTATAACACTTGCAATGAAGCTGGAATCAGTCTTTGCATCACACAGAAGCAATGCTGCACGAGCACCATCTGCATCTCCTATTTGCTCCTTAAACCTTGCATTGAAAATATGAATTTCTGGAACATTCTGTCACAAAATGATAATTGGCAGAGAAAAATCAGTTGTGGTTATCCCTCTCCATCTCTTTGTCCAAAAGAAAAAAAATAAAAATAAGACACTGAAAGAAAAGGAAAGTAATGATTTCTTTTAGTCGAGAAAATTTGACAATTCAAGTACTGTTTATTTATTTATTTTTGTTGAAATCTCAATGTGGCTATAAAGCAGCAAGCAATCTAAAAATGTAAATCAAAACTTCGGAACTCGGAAGTCTAGACTCTGATTCCGGGGTAGAAAGATTCCACATTTCTTCACATGAAATTAGAGAGTCAAGATAAAACTAGATAAAAACGTATCTTAGGCTTATTTTAGTTTACATTTTTACCTATACAGGTTATAGCAAAAATGCTCTCATTCAGAGCTTGCTTCGACATAGTACAAACAAATCAAATACCAACTCAATAAATCAGACATAAGTTCAATAAATACATGCATACAGCTATCCACACACACACACACGTAAAGCCATCTCTCTCTCTCTCTCTCTCTCTCTCTCTCTCTCTCTCTCTCTGTGACACACACACAGAAAATGGTCAGACCTGACTCCAAAGTAGATTATTTTTACAATTTTAGCCCATAATAATTCAAGTGATTCCCTAATTTAACTGTTAACTGCCTTCTCAACTGGCCTGAGTTGGCAGTATTAGCTTTAACAAACCACAAACCTAAACCATCTTGGTAAACTCTTTGATGGTAGAAGCAAAAAGGTATAAACTGTTTATTCACAGTTAAAGTGTGGGACAGAAATTAGTATACACATCCACAAAAATTGGCCATGCTATAGAAGCAAACCTTATCACTTGTAACCTTTTTTATTGTTTTGAGGTCTGCCTGATGAATTACAAAACATGCATGTTGAAATAGACTTGAGTAAAAATTATTACAGATTGAGGCCAAGTAATCTTAGGCAGCTTTTATACAGCCAAAAACTCTCTCCTATGTCGATCCGATCAATTTAGATTTCACAACACGACCCAATTTATGTTCAGGTGGATCATAAACTGATTAGAAAGAGAAATCTCAACAAATCCCAGCTAAAAGACTGCACGAAATTAAATGCAGGAGAGCAGAATGAATCAAATGCAGTTTTACATGAACCAGAAACTTAGGCCCTGTTCTCTTTGTCGTTTTCAAGCCGTATTCTGATTTTAATTATTCAAAACAGCGAAAAC